CCAGGGCCATCCTGTTGGTTCTGGCTGCAAACCAGGCAGCAAATTGGAGCAAAAGAATTGCAAACAAAGGGCTTTTATTTATTAGTTCTTAATGTTGTTTGGTTTAAGTGAATCAGTCTGAAATGGTTGGTAACTCAGGTTTAAAATCATTTACATCAGTGGATTTCTGTTGATGGGTGTTTGCCCTTACATCTTCCTTTTAAAAAACATATGTCGATAATGTTATTTTCCCAATATAGCTTATATTAGAGGAGGCCAGAATCAAGGTTGGCACCCAAACACCCCCTTGCTTTGAGGATGTCCAGATCCCAACTTCATCACTTTGATCTCTGTAACAGGCTGAATCCAAATGCTGCGTATGAATGTTCTGTGACCTTAAGGAGAGTCCAGATGATATGTGAAACTCCTTCCAAGCCGTTGAGTTTCACATGCTTTCCAGCCAAAGTGCCCCCATCTCACAGAAAGGGATGGAAACCTAGTCCTAGTTTTTGAGCATGATCCAAATGTTGCCTTCAGTTTTTCTAGATCAGTGGTTCTCAAAGTTTTCTATTGGTGACGCAGCAAAACCTCTGAGTGCAACCCCCCCTTATACATTAAAAACACTTTTTTATATTTAGCACTATTATAGATGATGGAGGCGAAGCGGGTCTTGGGGTGGAGGCTTGCGACCCCCCCACGTAATAACCTTGCTACCCCCAGAGGGGTCATGACCCCCAGTTTGAGAACTCCTGCTCCAGATGCTGGAGTGTACTGAACCACCAAGTCCTTGGACCAGTCTGTGGTCCCACTGGGTTTATGCTTTGCTTATAACTGCTGCTGAGAAATGAACCAGGATTCTCAACATTTGTAGGCAGCAGCTGTAATAGAGGAGTAAAAGGGAGGCTTCTTTCCCTCCTCTGCCTCAGCCGGTAGGAACCACGCTGAGCTGCCCTCAGCTGGAATTTGCTCTTTGCATATTTTACACTGCCTGCTGCAGATACTCTTCCTTCTGAGTTTTGTATCCCCTCCCTGACATGCACTGGGCCAAAGTCTGCTTTCAGTTACTCTACTGCAAGCCTGGTTGATTCTAAAGCAGGTCTGTGCCGGTTTATCTGAGCGCAGAATTGGGCCTGAATACTTTTCTGTGAGTGGGTTGGTGGGAGGAAATATCCTGTATCATGTCGGACAGCGAGCATGCATGTTGGAACGGGACAAATGTTCTTTCAGAATCTGGAAGAATATTTTATTCCCCCACCTCCTTCCCCACTTGCCCCACTAAGCAACTTAACTAATGCAAAAAGCTTTTGTTTTTAACGGAGGAAAACGGCCATGAAGTGGAACTGAGCTTTCAGCTTTGTGTATGTGAAAAGGATTGTTTAGCTGTGTGTGTTGGAAGATTGCTTGGTTTGGGGGCTTTGTTTTTTGTTTTGTTTAACTTTTATTTAGTTATTCCCTAAGGGGAATAGTTTTATCAGTGGTGTTTGTCTCTCTTACAAAAGGGAAATCCCCTATTAAATGTAGGTTGATGTGGGTTTCTGTTTTTGTTTAATTTGACTACTCTTCCCACGTTCAGTGCTGGCCAATGTACTATGGGGATAGGAGTCATCAAAGGACTAGGTGGACAATAGAGGAATTGCATTACATTTTAAATAAAGCGAGCGATGTGATGTATGGATTTTTATGGTGGATGAAGACCAGTATTAGATGTTTGGGGTTCATTACTGACGCAGGGCCAAATTCTGCTCTGTTTTAGAATCCGCAGTAACTAAAATGCTTCAGTGGAATTACATCAATGGCACGTATTACATTATTTATATCGTGGTAGCCCCTAGAGGCCCCAGCTGAGAGCAGGGACCCATTGTAGTAGACTCTGTACACACAGATAATGAGAGATGGTCCCAGTCTAAACAGAGACCTAGACAGGAGAAGCATCTTGCCCAAGGTCATACAGCAAATCAGTGTCAGAGCCAGGAATAGAACCGAGGTTTTCTGACTCGTAGTCCAGAGCCCACTCCCTTGGACCACACTGCTCCTGTAGTACAGAGATTATCATGTCTAGCGTCAGGAGGTGAAGATGCCAACCCTGCTAGAATAAGCAAGTGCTCAAATTCCACTTGCTCAAAATCCCCATTTTCTGGGATTATGAACCTCCTTTATATCCATCCTGTTTTGACGCTGCTGTTTTGGGGAAAGTAGTAAAAAAATGGGGCTCCTGATGTGCAGTGTAAATATCTTCATTGAGTCAGACATCTTACATACATACAAGGCCTCGTGCTTCATAGTACAAGCCAACCGCTAGTTTCTCCTTGGACAGTTGTGTTTGACAATTGTGGATGTTTCTTGCATCTTCCTCTGAAGTATTTGGTACCGGCCACTGTCAGAGACAGGATAGCAGAATATATGTATCACTGCTCTGATACAGCCTGGTAATTCCTTTGTTCCTAAGTATTTGTAGTGTATCAGAGGGGTAGCTGTGTTAGTCTGGATCTGTAAAAGCAGCAGAGTCCTGTGGCACCTTATAGACTAACAGACGTATTGGAGCATGAGCTTTCGTGCGTGAATACCCACTTCGTCAGATTGCATCCGAAGAAGCGGGTATTCACCCACAAAAGCTCATGCTCCAATATGTCTGTTAGTCTATAAGGCGCCACAGGACTCTTTGCTGCTTTTAAGTATTTGTAGATCATTAAGAGGGAGGAGGGGTCACTGGTACACAGATGCAGTCAATGGACCAGATTCGTGACTGCAATCACTCATGAAGACTTGAGGGCGGTGGATTATCTGCCCGTTTCAAAGGAGTGAGTTGGTTTTCTAGATGTTTGATTTAAAGCTGGGAGGTGTCGAGATGCCAAGTCAATCTGTTTGTATAAATAAATTTCAGTTGTGCCGTATTTGCACTATGAAAGCCAGAGACCTGGAATGTGTTTCATGAGGTTTATTTTGCCAGTCAGGACACACACATTTTGTCTGGTGTTGTCAAAACACATGGCCACACGCATGTCCAAGTTAAGTTAAAGGGCCGACTATAATGCACAATGGCAAAGAAGTGTAGTTTATGAGCCTTATGCTCTTCTCTGGACAGTTTCACATCAGTCTGTGGGTTTCAGTTGAATTCCTCCTCACTGAGGGCTTTATGCAGCTCCCATTGAAGTCAGTAGCCAACCTGCCATTGACTTCAGTGTTGCTGGATCACACCCTCACACAGCTGTAAATCAGAAGGTTCTCCAGCCCAACAAATCCATTCTGTCCTGAACTCACTCCAGGGAGACCAATTTGAACCACATGCCCACTGTTGATATTACACAGTCTTTGAATGTGCTGGATCACATCTGTGTGAATTCGAAGAGAGGCGTGCCTGAGTCTGTAGGGGTTGCCTGTCTCTCATATACAGGATGTCCTTAGGGAGATGAGGCTGAAATGATTTTTTTTATGCTGGATATCCTCTGCTGTCTCTGGGCCTGATCCTGCACCCATTGAAATCCATAGGAGTTCATCATTGCAGCTTTAACAGTTGCAGGATGGGGTCCTTTTAAAGACATTCAACAGCCCCTTTGCCTATTTATAAATGAAAAAGGAAGAATTGGACAGATGTGCTGTGGATTGAATTCTGCTGCTGTAAATGAAGCTACAGCAGTTTCTTTCTAGAAGTATATAGGCATACAGAGCTTGGAGGATAAACACACCGGGGAAAGGGTTCTCTAGAAATGCACTGTTTTGAGGGCTCAGTGCAAAGGGCCTACTTAAAATTGTGTGACGTCATATGGAGGCAAGGACCAGGGCTTCCCTTTTCTTAAGTTTCCTTGTTTTTTTTTTTTTCTCATGATGAAATGTTAAGAACAAGCTTCTGGGAGGCAAGGGGTTAAAATAAATGTGCTTCATGTTTATTAATGCCAAGACTCCAGATTTGCAACCAGGGTTCGTTCAGAGGTATTTAGATCTGAGGTTTTGCTTTGGACCTGTCTTTAGTTCAGGGTATAAGATAATAGCTACGGGGGCCAAAAGGTATTCTCTGTCCCAGCCAATATATACGTTATTGCACAACTAGCTAGGCCTGTTGTGAAAGGGTTTTTATCATCCTATGAAGAACCAGGGATCAGGCCACTACCCGAGGCAAGATGCCAATCTTTATGGTCTGTTGGTCTTGTCTGGTATGGGAAGTTCTGTGTAACAATAAAGGCAGTCAGGCCCAGCCTTCCAGTTTGGCGGGGAGGGGGAGGAGGGTGTCAAATTTTGGGAAGAGGAATTGGGCCAGGACATTTGCAGTCCCACTGCTTGAGACAGTAGGAGAAGGATTATCTAGCGGTATGTGTCTTTTAAGAACATAAGAGCAGCCAGACTGGGTTAGAGCAAACAAAGGTCCATCTAGCCCAGTATCCTGTCTTCTGTCAGTGGCCACTGCCAGGTGCCCCGGAGGGAATGAACAGAACAGGTAATGATCAAGTGATCCATCCCCTGTCGCCCATTCCCAGCTTCTGGCAAACAGAAGCTAGGGACACCATCCCTGCCCATCCTGGTTAATAGCCATTGATGGACCTATCCTCCATGAACTTATCTAGTTCTTTTTTGAACCCTGTTTCTGCCAGAATGCCTGGTCTCACTGCTGCTGGGGAGAGCAGGCTGGTTGATTTGTTGTTGAATGTGTGCAGGCCCCTAAAAATCGAGGGTTAGCAAGCAGTCCCTTCAGTTTCTTGTGCTGAAGGTCTGGTTCTGAAGGCAGCTCATGTTGTATTTTAATAATCTATGCTTGAATAAAGGGGAAATGTAGGGAGAGAGAAGCATGATCCAGTGGCTAGATTGCAGAACTGGGAATCAAGAGACCTAACCTCTATTCCTTACTCTGCACTGACATACTGCATGGCCCCGGGCAAGCCATTTCATCTCCCTGGGCCTCAGTTTCCCCATCAGGAAAAGCGGGTGGGGGGATACTGATACTTACCAATTTTGTAAAAAGACCTAAAGATGGAAAATACGGTGTCAGGGAAAAGGGCTTCACTGTTGGCGCTTTTTGTTTTCTTTTACAGAAGAAAATGAAAAGCACGAAAAGCTCCGCCTAGAAAGAGAACAGGAGCAGAAGAAGGCCAGCGTACAAAAGGTTAACAATGCCTTTCACCCAGAGGACCCAAGGAACGAAATCCCAGCAGTGCCCATCTCTCCCCCTGCACCAGCTCCTCCTCCTCCTCTGCCGCCACCCCTAGCAGCCCCCATATCAGTCATTCCCATCCCCGTGGTCACTAGCTCACCTCAGCAAGCAGCCCAAACCACTCTGTCCCCTCCGCTCATACAACGCCACCAGCCTCTCATAAGCACTCCCAGCATCAGCAAGGAAGTGTCATCAGTTGCACCTGTTATACAGAGACCATCTGGCCCACTTCTTCCAGACGTCAAGGCTGCTACGCCCCCTTCAGGTAGCCCCAAGCAGTTACCGCAGTATGCAGCTCCAGTACTGGCCATCTCTCAGCATCACCTGGTTCAGCAGCCAATACAGCCCCAGCCTCAACCACATCAACCTCTGCAGCAGCACCAGGCACCGCCTCAGCAGCTCAATGCTCTTAAGCTGGCCCCGGCAGAAGATGCCAAACCAAATGAGCAGAAGAAGAGACCTGGAGGGTGAGTCCCCAGAAACCGTTGTACAAATGCGTCATGTTGCCGCAATGTAGGATCTTTGGAGAGCTTGTGGGGGAAAGGAAATGGAGGAGGAATGGGATCTTTGAATACTGCATCAAACCAGAGACACCGCTGCTTTGTGGAGGGTTCTCCAACCCTGTCCACAGTCAGATCACAACCATGCAGACGCCATGAGCGTTTGAATACATTTGTTGGCGGTGGGATTTTAGCTTGGCTTTCTCTGACCAGAACGCAGGTTTTTGTCTGACCCCCGCACTACATTATATAACAGTTCGCTAGACTACCTCTCTGATTTGGAACAGTGCTCAGGCAAAAAACCTGTCCCTGATGGCCAGGGAAACCATGCAGGGACCCTGTTAGCAACAACTCTGTTTAAACGTGTCATTACAGTATCCCAGTGCAGACAGCATCGTAATTATTTCTTTGTGCAATGATCATTTTAAATTCTAAATTAAATGACAGGTGAGCACACGGGCACCGTCCTTCACAGAGAAGGAATGCCCTGGCTCTGATGTGCAGAAAGTAACAGAGCAAACATGCTCACATTTAGCTCTGGTGGATGAGGTCTTTGTGGTTGGCATCTTAGTTCAAGAATTAAAGGGGAACCTTGTTGAGACAAAATTATACAATCCTGGCCTGGAGAGATCACTTTTACCTTTAAGGGGTAGTGACGGCATTCAGTCCCTATTGTCCATTCAGCCTTCCATGCCTCTGCTGAAAACAAGGATGCCAGATGTGATGCTGGCCTTTTTGGTGTGCATGGCTGTTCACCAAGAACTGGGTTGGTACCAAGCAACGAAAAGTGGCATTGTCTTTTGCTCATTACCAAACTGAGCTGGATTTGTACCTCTCTAGTCAAGAGGTTCAAAGCTTCATAGTCCATTGTTTACATCCTATGCTCGCCAGTCCCCTCTGCATTAGTTCTCAGCATTGCTCTAATGCGACTGGTAAAACAACAAGAATGGAGGGCTGTGAATTCTGCTCATTTGTGGAGAGAGGGTGCCTGGCATTGCTGAAGAATATCCTCCAGCCCTTGGCTGACTAAGGAGTGATATTGACTCTCTGCCAAGGGGGAATCTCATCTTGTTCTCCTCAGCCAAAGGATAATGGTGCCTTGAGAGCAGGGGAGGGCTATAAGGTGTAAGAGAAGATTAAAGGATCCATAGTGTCTTTTGGGGATCAGAGGTGTCTGTCCTCTACCTGCTTTCCTGGGAAGAGGGACAGAAAAGAGTCTAAACAGGAAGCTGTGAAGAGGATGGCATTTTTTCTCCTCAAAATATGATTATAATTCCAGCTAGAAAGGTTATGATCTTTACCGCTTGATTATCAAAAATGCCAGTTGCTACCAGGATTGCTGGTGAAAAAGAGATTGCTCGTACAGATGGCTAGTTAGACACGTAACTGGCCCTTTGTGTTCATGCAAGTCCATAGTCTATGCAATTCCAGTGATTACGCTTCCTTAATAAGTGAGCAATTGGGTGCCTGATTTTTGGGAACAGGCCCTAAGTGTTTCTTTCTGTTTTGTAGAACTAGCTCTGTTTTTGTGGAACGGGAAAAGTGCTGCTTCAAAACGGATCACCAAAGCCCCAGTCCCTGGGTCAGTCTGTAGGACTCTGCTTGTTGTAAGCAGCCATCTCCAGACTTGCACCCATTATTCCTGGAGGGTTCTAACAATGTGCAACACACTTGACAATTTGGCTTCAAACATGATGTGCTTGTTTCCAGGGCAACAGGACTATTAAGTTTTGCACTCCATACCAGGCGTGCCTGGATCTAAGAGCCTGTACCATACGCTGAGCAAGCCACCTTGTAAATGCTACCCTGTTTAATGCATGTGGGTCAGACACCTCATGGTCTGTGCTGTTGTCTCTCCAGAGCTGCTTGTCCAGACACACGTATATGGAGAGATGTTTTATTCAGCTCATAAACGTTTCATGGGAAAAGGCCCTTGGCTATTTATTTTTAATTGATTGAATAGTTTTAGCCCTTATTTAAAAAAATGACCCCACTTGCAGCATATTTTTAATTAAAGGTAAATCATTTTGTAGAGACTTTATGGACGATACTAGAGCTCTCTCCCTGTCTAATAATATACCATAGAATCTGAACACCTGAGCTAAGTTGTAGTGAGGTGGAGGTGACATTTGTGAATTCATTCTGAAAGAAGTTTTTCTCTGTTTTTATAAAAATCTGGAGCACCTGGCCCCTTACTGTCTTTGTTGGACAGTGACTGGAGAATTCTGTTTTCCTTGATTATATTATTTCATATTTATATTTGGTTACATTATTTCAGTTACAGCAGAAAACGAAAAGCTTTAAAGTACGCCTGCCAAGTACCATATGTTTTAGTTTATAATTGCAGAACTCCCACTCCGACTGGTGGGTGGGCATGGATTAGAAATGGGCCTGAAGTCTGGCTCCAAATACTCTGTCAAAGCTTGGATATATCACTATAGTGATTAGTGCTGTATACATACCCAAAATTCACACTAATGTAAATACCTCTGAGCTTTGCATCTTGTCCCCTCTTTAATGTATATACCTAATATACTAACTGGAACCTATATCTACCTAGTATACAGTATATACATTATATATTGTGTATGTGTATGAGATATATGTGTGTGTTTATAGTATATTATTTACATATATAGTATAGATCATATATATAATAGGTCTATACTATATTTACAAATAATACATTATAAATACTTCTAATTTCTGAACACTTTTCAAACGTTCTTTACAATCTCCCCCTATATCTCAGATGCACACACTGCTGAAAGCTCTCAAGCTGAATGGACATAGTTCTAAACCTGACACTGAGTTTATCTTTGTTCTGTTTGGGTTGCAGGGTTGGGACCAGGGAAGTACATAATAAATTGGAGAAGAACAGGTGCGTAGAAAGCCAGATTTTTGTTTATTGTAACACCCTTTCCTTTGCTTGTAGTCTATAAATACTCGTTTTTCTAGAAAGACTTGAACGAAATTTGTAGCGACTTTAATTAATCCTATATTACCCGGCTTCCTTTTAGCTGACTTTTGTCTCTGTTGCTTCCTAATATGTTTTGCTTACTACCTAATTGCATTACAATAACCTTGCAAAGCCCTAATCCAGCAAAGCACATCAGCACATGCATATTATTATTGTTGCTTATCATTGTATTAAAGAAGTACTTAGAGGCCTCACCTGAGATCAGGGCCCCACTGTACTGCAAATAAATAGTAAGAAACAATCCCTGTCCCAAAGGTCTTACAATCTAAATAGGTAAGTGGTGAGAGAGAAAACAGAGGCACAAAGAGTTGACAGGATTTACCTAGGATCACACAACACTTCATTGGCATAATTGGGAATAGCATCCCGGTCTCATACGCTCCAGTCCAGTGATCTACCCACTGGAACACGCTGGCTCAGTTTTAAGAGTGCAAGTAATCCCGCTGACTGCAACTCACCGGTTTAAATGCTTTGCTGGATCGGGCCCCAAATTAAATCCTAATCCTCAATCAAATCACCTTTTTGGTTTATGGTCCTTCAAACTGACGTGCAACTCCTGTTGTTTCTTCAGACGTGCACATTTGAAAGAATGCTTTGAGACGTTAAAACGCAACATCCCCAGTGTCGATGACAAGAAGACCTCAAACCTCAGCGTTCTAAGGAGTGCCTTGCGATACATCCAGGTATGGCCTTCTTGCAACTGATTGTTACTCCTGGTTGCGGATTCGAGAATGCTTTACTTGATGGAGCAAAAATCCAGTATTACGTTTTTATAAAGTTTATTGTTTTCATCTTTGGTTGAATTCTTTTGGTTTCAATGCTTACAAAGGTAAAAGGAACAGGGAAAGTCTCCTTAATTGATAGTTGTCATTCGTAACTTGCAAAATTTTCAGCATCTTTGGATCTGCTAGGACTACCTTGTGTAATCCAAACTCCTGTTGTCAGAAACTCCTAGTTAACCAAAAGTCATTCATGCCCATGAGAGCAATCCATTTTGGATCATATTTCACTCTGGTGCAGTGGGCCACCCGGAGGATTGTGTAGCACTTAAACCTGATTTTACGGGGTTCAAAAGGGACGTAAGTGGTCTATAACCCAGGCGCTGGTCCTCTGCACCCCTCGTGCATTTTTCTCCCTGGGTACCTAAAACATTAGTCGTTTTTGTGACGGTTTTGAATTTCTCTAAAATTTGTGGGGAAAAGAGTATATATGAATATATGATGTGCTCTATGGCAGGAATCTTGAGCTACGGGCCTGGAAGCTAAGAGTGGTTGTAATGCAGGAGTCGTCAATGGGAGATTAAGGATAAAATTCAGCCCTCGTGTAAGGAGGCCCGACTCTTGTTGAAATCGGTGCACAAGTTTTTCGTGATTATCTATAGCTAAGTGTGGCCCTGTCAGTGGTGAAGGCCGGACGCCTTGTTCATATGCATTGCTCTGTAGATACCCAACACCTTTTCCTTCTTTAACGTTTGTCAGAGTGGTTAAAAAGGAATTCCCAACACGGTGCTCTGTGATTGGAACGTTACCGTAAGCATGAGTTAAAACTAGCTTTGTTATTTAAGATGGGTGTTTCCTAAATATCTGTACATGTGGTATCTTACTGCTGACTTTCAGAGGTGCTGAGCACCCACAGCTCCCAGTGATTTCACCTGGAGATCTAAGTGCCCAGCAATTACTCGCCAACTCTCAGGATGAGACCATGACTCATCCCTTGGCTTTCTTATCAGCTTTGCTCAATTGTTTGTTTGTTTGTTTGTTTGTTTGTTTGTGGTTTGCCAGGAGAGCTGCCTTCAGTGGGGGAGGTTGGGGGTGTGGAAGCCCACCAAATGTCAATGGGAACCAGCACCTAAAGGCTGTGTAAACAAAAGGAGCAGAGCCGTGTTCCCGAGAAAGGTCATTTCTGGAGACGCAGCTGTTTTGCAGCTAATGGGCACCGGAAAAGTCGTGAGCCTTTCGTCTGATTTCCAAAGCAGGTTGCTGTCAGTAAGGAGCTGAGCTTCCATTCGCGCTAACGGAGACAGAGAGAGCTGATCGCCTCCTCTCACATCTGGGAGTCGAGTCCGGAGTCACGATGTCACCAACAGAGACGTCTCTGGCATTGTTAGCTGACACTCTGTGAATATTGATACAAGTGCAGATCTAGCCCCGGGCAGACTGTTCACAAGCAGAATTTCTATGCTGTGCCTCTGGAATGCAACTTAAAATTCTCCTGAGGATGTCATTGGGAATGACTGGTTCTCTCTGTCTCTGTAGTCTGGATCCATCGTAAAATGCCTTGAGGGTTAGGAACAGTGCAGACTGCAGCACCACACTGTAAACAAATGTGCAATCAGATCTGTAAATTGCTAAGATTTAAGCTCTTGCACTAATTATAACAGAGCGTTTTCCTGATGATGGAGCTGTTTGTAAGAGGAGGATAAATGTTTCCATTCAGTTAATGAAATACGTGGTCGTGTCCTTAAGTGCCTAGGACGTATAATCTGCGTTTAGGACAGTCCAAAACGTGGCTGTTGACTCAGAAGAGCAGCCCGCTTCCCATGAGTTTTCACCATGTGGTATCTGCTTCAGTTTTATCTCTGAAGTGCCTCTCCTTTGCTCATCCATTCTTCACTTAGGAGGCCAGTCATTATTTGTGCAGACCTGAGTGGCAAATGAAACTAATGTGATGCTGGGTTTACAGCTGCCCAGTTGCTTTTGAAAAATGTCTTGGGAGCGGTGTACTGTTTTGGGGGGGCCTGGAGAAAAACACATGCCTATGCACTCATCTGTACGCCCACCGATTGGAACTGAAAGTCATGTCAAGGTAGTATATAGTTGCAGCATACCTAGCCATTCAGTCAAGTGACAAATGCAGAAATCCAGGCCGTTTTGATGCCAGGCTATTACAAAAATGGCTCCGAACTAAAGCAAATCTTTGTATAATTATCCCCATTCATCCTTCCGTTAAGTTCACAACGACCACATTGTGGTGTCAGAGCTTTCAGGTGCCTGCTGTTCATTTCTTCCTATTGTAAAAGCCACTTCTTGTCTTGGAAGTTATAAGTAAAGAAAAAAGAGAAGGTGAAAGGGTAAGAAAGCAACGCAGCAGCTTCCTCTTCCCCTTCTGCTCCAAGGGTGATCTCATCAGCTTTCCTCTAGTGAAGTCCTTGGTAGGTTTCGGCCAGACTGGGACAATTGTGCAGCATGGGGAATGAAAACATAACTGGGCAGCTGACCAAGCCAGGTGTTAAGAGTTGTTAAATAGGGAGCCACCAATATTTGAAGCCTCTCCAGTTTCAGTCTTGCCTCTGAAATATATCCAGTGTTTCAACCAGCCCACAGTACCTGTGATAACCTCATAATGGCATTTTGCAACACCCTCGGTGAACCTTCTGTCGGAGATAGCCTGGATTGCAATCTGCATAAATCCAAATGCAGTGGGTAAGCTCAGGGGAGCTTCTGGCCCCATAAATCCCAGGGTTCACAATAAGAGAAAGCACTAAGAAACAAAACTGGGGAGATTTCCTCTCAAAAGTGCAATGCACTGGTGTCAGAGATTGGCATGAAGATCTTCACAAACCCATCTGAACAATGGGCTTTGACGAGTCCAGAGAATGAGGGCTCTGGACTTTTCCCATCAAAACAGTTAGGCCATTGGCATCAGTGGAGGATTGTCCAGATCCTGTCCTACCTGCACTCTGCTCACACGAGGCCCTACAGGTAACTGAACTGTTTCAGTTTCACTGTGCAAGGTTGGGAAGGTTATGGGGTGTGGATGTCTACCCGCCTGCCCACTGTGGAGCTATGCACCGTGGGGACTACATTGATGGTAACGCAGGCCAGGGGACAGGGTTGGGGGCAGGTGCATCTGCAGATAGTGGGTGCATACTGGTTGTAGATGCTTTTGTGGCTTGTTGTAGCATTGTGACGGGGAGGTGGGGGGAGGGAGGCGAACTCCCACCGGATCGGTGCACTTGGCGTTCGTGCAAAGGGACAGGATTTGGGCCTGGCTGAGGAATAAGGACCAGAGGGCCAAGCCTGATTGCCGTTGCAATTTCATCAATGCAGTCCTGTTGCTAACAGGACTGGTTAGGCTGCTCTTATTGTCTGGTGAATAATTGAGATAAGCTATTTTGAAGTTTTGTGGTAAGAAGTGGAAGATGGGCAGTTCTGTGCTTTCCTTTTGAAAAACACCTCTACAGTCAGATTCAGATGTCACTACCAATTAAGATCTTGCCATGCTGGTCATAAGAAAATGTTTTACAGTGGATGGATTCAGCAGGGCTAGTTGGAAGCTGACAGTCTGTCTATCTTTATGTAAAAGATTTAATTTAGTCACATTTGGGCAATAATATGCTCCCCTCCCACCCCCCCAAAGAAATCAGTTGTCTCTGGTAGCCCTTACGTCTCTTTCTTCCTGCCATTTCAATCCCCAGGACAAGACCAGTAGAGCAGAAAGATACCCCAACAATCCTGCCTCTGAAACATCATGGTAGTTAGTAATGCATTTCTCTCCATTCCTGGGTAGGGCTGCGCCTGCTAGCCCTACCCAGGGCGATGAGGAAGTGAAGCTAATTAATTGGTGTTTGCACTAAGCAGACAGTGTGTGGAGTTGATTCGTTATAAATGTAGGGGACCCAATTTGAAGTTGTCATAAATGTGTGTGATTCTTTGGCAAAAGTGGAGCAACACCTGCTTATGCCATTGATGAATTTGCTGCAGAAGGGGAATCAGTACAGGTCCCCTCACTTTGATCATTACCTCTGAACACCAGTGCAGTGGCCTGTTCTTGGCACGTCTGAGTCTTGTGCTGGGCTTCAAGGCTGAGACAGGAATAGTACTGCTAATTTGTACTGTATGACTCCCCACATACTAGGACTTCATGCTATGATCCTGGCAGATCTCACAAGCTAAACCAGGTCAGGCCAGATCAGTACTTGGATGGGAAACCCCAAGATCACTTTGGTGCCCTGGGAAGTGATATTGGTGATTCAGTAGGTGGCACTTTTTTCCTGCTGAGTCAATAGTGAACCCGAATTCCAGCATAGTGTCAGGGGACTGCTGGCCAGCCCTTCTTCAGAGTGAGGCGTGAGCCGAGGCCCCAGCAACTTGTAATCATTAAAGATCCGAAGGCCTTTTTCATAAAAAAGCGCAGAGAAGTGTGATCAGGGTGATTTCCCCTCCCAAAATCCCCATGACTGTTCCGTTGTAAAATTCCTCCTACCACCTGCTGACTGAATTTCAGCTCTGTTATTCTTGCTGCATATGGGTGCCTACTGTCGTGTTAGGGAGCTAGATGCACCACTTCTTCAGTTTCAGCTGGATACAGTTTTGATTTCCTCTCCTAAAGGGCTATGGAGTGTTTCTGTGCCCTGTTAAGTAGCTCAGAGATGGGCCACAATGCTTGATTCTCTCTGTAAATCTTTTTGGGAGCCTTCAAGATAACGACGTCACACCTGCAGCGCCAGGCGCCCCCATCCCACCATGGGGCATGTTCATTATTTCTGATCCAGTACTGCCTCTGGTGTGCTGCCCTGGTGAATCATGACACGTCCCTTTTAACAAAAAGAAGAACAGGAGTACTTTTGCACCTTAGAGACTAACAAATTTGTTAGTCTCTAAGGTGCCACAAGTACTCCTGTTCTTCTTTTTGCGGATACAGACTAACACGGCTGCTACTCTGAAACCTGTCCCTTTTAACG